CTAGGAGCGTTTTTGTTATTTCCTACTCCCGTGTTTTTTGTGTGCGCGTGCCTATGTCGCGATCGAGGTGTTCGGCGTATTGCGCCGGGAGGGGTTTACCAGGGATATTAGGAGCCTGTTCGGTTTCTCTCCGCTCCCGTGACTCACCTCCCGGAGCGGAGCAGACTACTGCAGTTTTTTATGGAGCTGCTCAAACCAAGCTCCGCGGAGTGGAGCGGAGCAGAGAGATTCCAAACAGGGCCTAGGTTGCGCCCGCACAGTTAGCGCGCGGGTATTTCGGTGCAGTAGTCGCAGGTGCTAAAGCTTGATGTGTTAGCCATTGCAGTTGCTAAGGCTTCTGTCCGGTGTTCAACATCGTCTTTGGATAGCTAGTTGCCAGTGTTTAGGCGATGTTGTGGTAGGGCAATCTAAATATTGCTAATATATTAGGACCGTCTTATTAATAATTCTAATGAGTTATCTTGGAATTTAGAATCAAATAAAAAACCCTATATTATGCTCAAGGAAAGTAGATATAGATAGGAGCTTATGCCCTCAAAAAAAACACTAGTTTCTTAAATTAAAAATAAAAAAGATTTTTTTCAGTTCAGGTTTTGCTCTTGGTGCGCATGAGGTGTATATGGGTATATCAAGTCTCCCTTTTCAGCCAAGTATCAGTGACCATTGGTCCATTCATGCAAATAAACTTTAAAATACTGGACTGTCTCTGTTAGAAGATGTCCCCGCCCTCAAAGATCGTTCACCTCTAGCAACCATGCCATGTAGTGCAACATCATCATACATGTAAAAGGTGTCTGATGATACTGGACTGTCTCTGTTAGAAGATGTCCCCGCCCTCAAAGGTCGTTCACCTCTAGCAACCATGCCATGTAGTGCAACATCATAATACATGTAAAAGGTGTGATGCTTCGTTACAGTCGAATTATCCATAACACGGAATCCCTTTATGGTCATGACTGTAAGATGTAAATTGGATGAGGGGCGGACAAAGGGGGGGATACATGACGAAGTACCAAAAAATATATTTTCATGTGAGTTCTGGTGTCACTATCAGAGAGCTGTGTGAATTTATTTTTGATATTAAGTGAAACAGAATGAAGAAAAGTAGCAAGCACGCTGGAATGCGAGCTGGGTTCTTCACCCACATGCTTTAATCTTCTCATTTATCTTGTTCAGTTAGTTGTTTTCTTTGTGTTGTATGATTCTGCCATAGTAATCACTTCGGGTGAATAGGGGAAGAAGTGACTGTCATTGAGCTGGAATTTACGTCTTAATGCATTTCTTGATGGATTGAACCAACTGAATAATAGGGAAAGTTGTTCTCTTGGTTTAATAATTCATCCGAGTATGCTCGCAGACTTGCAGCCCACAAGTCATGGTTGCTGAATATGGTATGGAATTGGATATAAAGTTGTGGCATTAACTCTACATAACTGTTCATGTGGAAATGTGGGATAAATTGGAAAAGTTTCATTAAACAATATCATTCTGTGGAGTTTGCGATTTTACTCAAGCTTTTGTTCACTAACTAGCAAAAGTCATGGTTTTCTACAAATGAATGTGGAATGAATCCTAATAAGATATCTTCACTACTAACTTGGAAGTAAAGACCTGGAAAAAAATAACTCTTCACTGCCTTATGGGAATGTGCATCACCTATTACTAAGGACACTGTTTGTTTTCATGCAAGCTGCATTTAGTTTTTTCCTCTGATTCATGCAGTGATGCTTTCCTGGTTCAGTTTTCCAGGATTCACTGTTGCTCATTGTGATGCTGGTGCAACTTATGGATCGATTGATAGTCCTGATCTTGCCAATGATCTTAATGAGAAGATACATGACTCGATTCATGATCTCCAATTACCGATAAAAGAATACCCGTTGGAGCTGAAGCCGCTTTTGTATGCATTTGGCTTTAAGCATTTGAGTATGACGACTATTAGGGCCTTTTTATTATACTATTTACCACTTCTGGAGCCTCGTCCGCCCACTGATGACGATGACGATGACGATCTGCTTCAAGATGATTCAGAGAGGCCGCCGGTTGACCTGGTTACTCCCTTCCATAATTCATTGAAGCAAATCGCTCGCGAGGTACATCTTTTCTCTGACACTTTAGTACAGTAGCGTGATTCCTGCTCATACAGATATTTTAGTCACAGTGAGTGGCTAGGCACATGCTTGATTTGACTGATTGATCAGATAGGATATGTCAGTATCTTGATTCCAGATGCTCATGTGTGTTCACCTTAACCAACCTCCAATGTTGCCTTGCCTCTCAGTCCACGAGAAGCATAAATTCGATCTGTGCAAATTCAGTGCTTGCTGGATTTTTTCAATCGCTATACTTGACTTGTTGATTTCGCTTCCTAGTTAGACTATCTTCAAAATAAACATAAATTTGTTCTTTGTATACGTGAAACATAAATGTACTTCTAGTATTCATGTTATTTATATAGGGCCTGGAGGATAATAAAGCTAGGCCAAGCAGGTGGGGCTTCCTGGCCTTATCCTGTAACCCTAATTCAGCTTTGTAGGAAAAACTCCAAATCAGCTGAAACCATTTGGGTGTATTTATGAGTCATAATACTCTTTGAGCTGAAGCTTAAACTTGCTTATATTAGAATTTCAATTTTAAGCTGCTTACATTAGAATTTTAAGTTTGGCCCAGAAGATCATTATTATTTCTCCTATGTAAAGTAAAAGTTACTTGCTTAATCTTCTGTTCTGCATTTCAGATTTCTGTTGTAACAACAAGAAGAGTATTCGAAAGGATTGCGGTTTGTCATGTTTCACAAAGAACAGCATGGAAGCTTCTCAAAGGTGAATACTTCTCCGTTTTTCTCATGTCTTCTAGCAGCACTCTAGAAGCAGTGGGTGAAAGATATTTATCAGACATGGTGTTGAATCACTTAATATGTATGTTAATGTGATTGTTATTCCAATCGAATAGCTACATTCTTGGAATTATCATTTTGCATAGAAAGAATGTGTTATTTTATTAATTGTAACCATATCATTAGTTTCCTTGCCTTAGTTTTTTTCTCGAGAAACCTTGTTCACCAGATCATTGGCATGTGTCTTATTGCTGCTATTGTCCATAATCAATATTGAATCCTCTATTCAGCTTGCAAATTTCTTATTGGTTTAACTTGTGGTTCAAACTATTAGGCATTTAAAACCACATTAGGAGTCTTAGGACTACACAAGTTACCAAAATTTCCTTTTTACAATCTTGTTCCGCATGCATGTGTAAAGAACTTGTTTCTTAATAACTTGGCAAGATTAGGACTCAGAAAGTAGCTAGCGCATTAGCATTTTATGTTTGGGGCTCAGGGCTCAACAGAAGTAAAGCCTAAGTGCCTAACACAGTTTGTCTAATAAGAGCTTATCTGTGAGCTGAATGTGCCCTGAATGCTGAGTTGGATGGTAAGTCATTAAATCCCTATCTCTTTGTGGGTGAGTTGAGCACTCCTCACCGTCGAATAGATTATTTATTTTGACTTCTTGTGTTGGCCCAACATTGTCCAGTCCCTTTGCAGGATGTGCCTCCAAATTTATCTTAGATACGCTTGCTAGCTACATTTTCTGTCATATGCTAGCTTATCAACAAGTTACGCCATGTTCTGTCGGTTGCTTCTGTCTAACACATTAGTCATACGATTATTTTCTTTTGTCTTCTTGTGTACTCATTTGTGATTATCACTTTATCAGCTGTTATAATATAATGCGTTACTATTTACTTATTTTTCTAAAGATGCTGCAAAATCATCGAAGAGGAAAGCTCTGAGGGGGATGTCAATTCCAGAATACACATACTGTGTTGCCAGAACAACTTTCCGAGGTAAGATTTGCCTGCAGTGTCACTTTTCCTTCTGTAAATTATTGTTCAATTATTTTTCTTTGTTCAAACAGCGCATGCATTGGGAGTAGCTGCTACTTGGGTTGTACAATCTGTCGTCCAGGTCTACAAATGTTTTATTCGTCAACCTGATAATGATGACGAATTGTTCGACGAGAAGGAAAAACTCAGATTGTTTGCGAGAAGGATCTATAGTGTAACCATCAAATGTGGTTTCTCTTTGGTTTTTGCCTCGATTGGAGCAGGCCTCGGCGTCCTTCTGCATCCAGTGCATGGACAATGGATTGGTCAGTTATGACTTCTTTTTCTTTCATCAGTTCAAGTACTAGACTATGCCTTGTTTGCCAAAGCATCTCATTTTGTTTCTGGACTGACAATATTCGTTGAAGAGTTTCAATTTCACTTACGTTGGTGATAAACATATCTTTTGTTTCTTCAAAATCACATAAATTAATTTTGTTTATTCTGCATGGAATTCCTTTTTCATTTTGCGTTGGTAAGTTTGCAGCCTTTTATGTTGGAAGTACCCTTTATGTTGCCAAAAGTAAAAAATGTGTCCTATGTGTTTATTGTGTAATGGCTTGAAGCACAGATATTATTTGTTTCAAATTTTCTCCTCTAAGATATACCAAGGTTCTATTTGTTCTTCTGTCCAAGGAATTTAGGACACCACCACCTTGAATTGCTGCAACATGTTAGTATCGGTTCAGTTCAAACTAGTTTGACGCTATTTCTCATATCTGGCTTGCAGGTTGTATCCTTGGAGATTTTGCAGGACCAGTTGTTGCTATCCTTATTTTCGAGAAGTTACAGTTCCCGCTAGAAGGTTAAAGACCACCATCTCCTGCTACAAAGTTAAGAAACCCAGGTCATCCGACCTTGTTTCTAGCCTGCCTGGTTTTCGAAGAACATGAAGTGGAGCTCCTTGGCCTTGAGTCTACCCTTTCAGGATATTCATTGGCCTAACTTGGAGCTCAAAGTTGATGAATAACTATGCATGCATGGTTAATAGCTTTTCGTGGCACAATGCCTTTGGGTATTGTGTAATGCTTACTTTTGGCACATTTAATAACTAGCTACTGTACTTCGTTGCCGTGCTTCACATTTTGAACTCAAAGGAACATTTCTGTCCACTGGTTTGCTAAATTTCTACAGTAAGTACTTCGCTGCCCTTGTTGTGAACTGAATCTGGTATATCTAAGGCCCTCTTTGTTTGAGCCACATATTCCTGAGAATCAGTGTGGCTTTCTGTGACTTACGATTCCTGAGTATCAGAAGTTGGTTGTTTATTTACCCTACCGTGGACAGCTAAAGGAGTTCTGGAGGTTGTGAAATCATATGTGAAACCATACTTGATACGTCAACAATCCATTATGCTTTGTTTGGATGTCTCTATTGGATTGGTTGGAATACCAATTCAACAAGGATATTTGTAATGGACATGAATACAAATTCACTTGTTTGGATGTCCTGAATTGGCCTATGGAATCCTCTGAGGTTCAATACCAAATGATGTTTGGATGACAAGCTATGGAATTGCATAGTAATATGAGTATGAAGATAATACATTGTTATATATATGCATCAAAACAAAATTTGTGATTCCAATTTTCAGCAACACTTTTTTCTGCGTGGAATTTTTCAGCAAAATCTACAAGTAGATAAACAAACCTATGCCTCTGTTTACAGGCGGTGGCAGTGCACAACCGATGTAGCCTAGAACTATGCCTCTGAGTACCTGTACAAAGCATGAACTACTCTGTGTACGTACAAAGCATCGAATCAATCTCGTTACAAAATTGATTCTAAAATAAAAACTCTTTACAAAACTAAAAATACAAGCCAAGATCCCGTAAAAAAAAATACAAGCCAGGAACATCACGACCACACATCTCACGAACAAACATGCTGCCTACACAGGAGGAACGAACATCGGCACCTTCCACGAATCGCAAGGCAGGAATCACGGACACCACGCAAAGGAGCATCGGCTGCGTCACCATGCAAATTGGGTCACCAGATCTGGGAGCGCCGACGGGGTCACCAAGCTGCAGCTATAGCTAAGGAGGAGGGTCAGGAGGAAGGGAAGGGTCGGCTGTCAGATCCCAGTGATCGATCCGAGTTTGTGAGCTAAATCAGACGAAGTATAGGGGAACTTTAGGGATTTGGCCAAGCTATAAGGCCCTGTATTTATCTATATAATTGTTCTGGCCATTTCGGCAGAATACAATTCTAATCCAAGCATACCCATGCCAGCCACAGGCCGGCTGTTTATATAGGCGAGCAGAATTATCCAACGATAAATAAAATGCTATGGTAATTAAGGCCAATGAAGTTTAAGAGTAACCGCGACCATCTAGGCCATTGAGCAACGACAATTGTGAAAGGACCGATGTCGGCCGTTGGATGAGCCGTGAAGCGTTATGTGAACCTGGAGTGAAAACTGAAGAACTAGACAACCCGTCAGGTAGCTGGCATACCCCCCCCCCCCTTGAAAACCGACGTGTCTTCATGGCGGTGCAGCCCTCGAACGCTAGTCCTCTGTGGTGGTTCTGAAGAACTCTGGGAACGTGTACTTCACAAAGTCAACATGCTCCCAAGTGACCTCTGCAGGTGACAAATTCTCCCACTGAATAAGCCATTGAACCACAGGTAGATTGTTCCTAAGAACTTGCCTCACTTCTAGCACTGCCGCAGGTGATGTTTTAAGCGTGTCATCTGCATTTACCACTGGAAGATTTGGGCTAGGAATTGCTTTAGGGCCAATATGCTTATTCAATTGACTGACATGGAAGACGTGGTGTATCTTGGGAGTTATAGTTTGTATGCAGCACTGCCTACTTTGTGAGTGACAACAAAGGGCCCATAGTACATGTGCTGGAGTTTCAAAGCTCCCTTGAATCCAAAAGTTGTCGGTCTATAAGGCACCATATTTAGGTAAACCAGATCATCACACACAAAAGTTCTTTCACTCCTTTCTAGATCAGCATATTTCTTCATCCTCTGCTGAGCTTTAAGTAGTTGTTCCTTGATGTTCTTGAGCATAGCACTCTTGCTCTTCAACAAGTCATGTGCATCACTGTCAGATGGACCAAGACTGGCCAACTCGCAGATCATAGGGGGTGGAAATCCATAAAGGGCTTGAAAAGTGGACCTCTTTATGTAGAATTGTACCAATATCCAGTCAAAGGTAGCCAAGACAACCTGTCGGTGTCAAAACCGGCGGATCTCGGGTAGGGGTCCCGAACTGTGCGTCTAGGCGGATGGTAACAGGAGACGGGGGATACGATGTTTTTACCCAGGTTCGGGCCCTCTCGATGGAGGTAAAACCCTACTCCTGCTTGATTGATCTTGATGATATGAGTATTACAAGAGTTGATCTACCACGAGATCGAAGAGGCTAAACCCTAGAAGCTAGCCTATGGTATGATTGTTGTTTTTTGGGTCCTACGGACTAAACCCTCCGGTTTATATAGACACCGGAGGGGGCTAGGGTTACACAGAGTCGGTTACAAGGAAAGAGATCTATATATCCGTACTGCCAAGCTTGCCTTCCACGCCAAGGAGAGTCCTATCCGGACACGGGACGAAGTCTTCAATCTTGTATCTTCATAGTCCAACAGTCCGGCCAAAGGATATAGTCTGGCTATCCGGATACCCCCTAATCCAGGACTCCCTCAGTAGCTCCTGAACCAGGCTTCAATGACGATGAGTCCGACGCGCAGATTGTCTTCGGCATTGCAAGGCGGGTTCCTCCTCCGAATACTTCATAGAAGATTTTGAACACGAGGATCGTGTCCGGCTCTGCAAAACAAGTTCCACATACCACCGTAGAGAGAATAATATTTCCACAAATCTAATCTACTGACGTACCCCGTAGTGTGACATCGCACCACAGCCAGGTCTTTATTCGAATCGTTTTTCATAACCAATCTCAGCGTGTTTCCCGAGGCGGTTTCCTTGGCACGTCTTGTCGAAGCAGAGATCGTGTCCCCTTTATTACGAGATTCTCATCAATAAGGACGTGGGTAACCCTACTGTGCCTATTGGTAGGACTCCTAGATCTTAGGCAAGTCCCAAACGGCCATGAGGAGGACGCTTGATATTCACCCTCTTTATAAAGGGGACAAGGCTTTTTATTTTTCCCCTCTCGTGCTCAATCAAATCCTTCCCCCGCCTCGAGTTCTAACACCCAAAACTCAGGTCAGGTGCTTCGGACCTTCAACTATGTCCGGATCCAACCTTCAAGGTCGGTGGATGCCTTCCTCCGTCACGGAGGAGGACATCAAGAAGTTGAGAGAGGCCAGATATCTGACCGCCGAAATTTCGCATCGGCTGCCCGCCCGAGGGCAGGTCGTCCCTACTCCCGAACCCAACAAGAGCGTCGTGTTCGTCTCCCACTTCCTCCGAGGACTAGGCCTTACTCTGGATCCCTTTGTTAGGGTTCTTATGTTCTATTATGGGCTAGATTTTCACGATCTGGCCCCGGATTCCCTTCTTCACATTTCATCATTTATTGTCATATGTGAGGCCTTCCTCCGCATTACCCCTCACTTCGGCCTGTGGCTCAAGACCTTTGATGTGAAGCCGAAGATGATCGAGGGGCAGCACGCAGCGTGCGGAGGCGCTTTAATAAGCAAAATTGCTGACGCTCCATGGCCTGAGGGTAGCTTCCTAGAGGTGTCTGGATTGTGGCAGTGGGAGTGGTTCTACATCACAGCTCCCAAAGTGCCAAGTGGGTAGCTGCCCCCACCTTTCGCTCAGGCCCCCACCACAACTGATGTTATGGATCAGCAGGGGGCTGAGCTGGGGTCCAGCCAAGGACGTGCCAATGCTGCAAAGCCGTATACGAGATCTCTTTGAGAGAGATTTCAGTCTGGTTATGGTAGTGCAAGTTATGCTAGTTCGTCGAGTCCAGCCTTGCAAACGCCGGCCCCTTCGCATGTGGGAATTCAACCCGGAAGGACCACGAGCTATTCAACACTTCCTTGGCATGACGCCCGAGGAGATGTACAAATTGTTCTTCGGACCACAAATAATGTGTCCGGACATCACTGAGGATGCAGGTCTGAGCTGCAATCACCCGGATACCCAAGTAAGTAGCCCTGCATCCGAACACACTGCCCGTTTATTTATCGCAACGTTGCCCTAAAAAGCCGCTCTTTGACCAGGATTGGATAGCGAAGGCAAAGTTGATCAGGTGTCCGGCCCCCTCCCTGAGACATCACCAAATCCCATGCTAACCAGGATGCTGGAGATCGCGCCTTATCAAGCGCCCTCAGGAGAAGATAAAGGGGGGGGACAAGGAGGCTAGCGCCTCCGCGAAGGAGGTTAGCCGGGGAGGAGGAACTTAAACTTCCTCTCCCCAGGGAAGGAAGAGGACCGCCTCTGAGGACCCGGAGACCATGGTATCCAAACGGGGGAAGAAATCTTCGCCAGAGGGTCCTACCCTGGGGGATACCCCGGCCGCACTATGCCCTCAAGGGGATGAGCCCTCCACCGAGCTGTAAGTAAAAGGGTACTTAATAATGAAAATATCTCGCTTTACCTCTGAGGAAAATAACCGAAGCATTTATCTTGCAGTTCAGATCTTAGCCCTTCTCAGCAGAGCTCGTCTTCAGGGGATCTTCTTCCAGAGATGATGGAGAGTGAAACGCCTCCCCCTACCATACCGCCTCATGAGGCGGGCGACCCTGAGGTGTCGTCGCGGAGGGTTTCTCCTGATCCGGCCAGGCCAGAAGGTAATCCTATGGCCACTCGAAGTCCTCTGTATCCGGCTCTTGAAGAGGGCAATCGAAAGAGTCCGACACCGTCTGGTGTACAGTCGGACGTACTGAGGGATCTGCTAGAGCAAGCGGCTATCTCAGAAGAGCACCACATGTTGATGGGTACGGTGATTGAAAGGATTTTGTCCGCCGAAAGCGGGTTGTATGAAGCCTTTATGAGTCTACTGCGGGTTTTGAGGTACGCGAAATGATGTACATTTTTGACAGTACCGCACATTTTTAGATGTGCCCTATGTAGATAGTAGCCCCTGAGACTCTGGGTGCTGTCGAAGACGACAGCGTACAGAGGATCATAGTCCCAGGAATAATCATGCCGCCTTAATATGCAGGTGGCGGAGGGTCCGGTGGCCAGCCGGACTAATGAGTTTTCCGAGCTAAAGCGGCAGCTTGACGTGGCAGATGCCGACATCGTACTTGTCACAAGAGGCTTGACGAGGCACAGGGTATGTGATTCCTCCGGTGACACATGGGAAGAGGAGCATGATGCTAGTATCTATAACATGTGTGTGAATGCAGATGAAGCTGCGGCCATGGAGAACCTTCGGTCGGAACTTGCCCGAGCCAAAGAACAAGCCAGGAAAAGCGATGCGGCTGCCCTAAAGGCAATCGAGGAGCTGAAAGCCGAACAGGCTGCTCACTGCCAAAGCAAGGAGGAAATAGCCAGGATGGCTGTGGAATTGAAGAACGCCGCTGACCGTTACGAGCTTCTTGAAAAGGAAGATCGAGCGAAGAGGACAGACCTGGAGAAGGCCACGATGGCGACCAAAGACACCCGCTCTGCAATGAGAGCGATGAAGGAGGAGCTGCGTCAAGCTGTGGATATCGCGGCTGGGAAGCCCTTTATGCTGCGGATGAAGTTCGGAGATCCTAGGTACTCCCCTTTGGACCGGCTGTGGAGTTCTGTGGACGCATATCTGGACTTAGCGGCGAGTGCTGCCGATGCGGCCGAATACTTCCGAGATCAAAAAGATCGCGAAGTGGAAAAGCTATTCTGGTCACAATTTAATGTTCTAGAGCGTCCGCTTCTATTGACTGATCGGTTGGCTGAATGGGCCGAGCTGAATAGATTGTCCGGACTCGCCATGAGGTCTATTGTGGATCATCTGTGGCCGGGAAGGCCAAAGCCGAACAATTATTTTAGTTTGGTGCAGCAGTTTCTTGGTGCGGTGCCGCACATCAACGCGATGGAGAGGTCGGCGTGCGTAGAGGGTGCGCGGATGGCCCTTGCCCGTGTGAAGACATACTGGGCGGAGATGGAGGCCACCGCCATTGCA